CCCAAATTCTCGAAGTCTGGTGATGCTGCCATTGTTGACATGATTCCCAGCAAGCCTGTATGTGGAGAGCTTCTCAGACTACCCTCCTCTGGGTGGTATCGCTGTTAGTGACAGACTGTTGCTATGGGTGTCATCAAGGCAGTGGACAAAAAGGCTGCTGGAGCTGGCAAAGTCCCCAAGTCTACTCAGAAAGCTCAGAGGCTAAATGACTATTACCTTTAACACGTGCCACTCCAGTCTTAATCAGTGGTGGAAGAATGGTCTCAGAACTGCTTGTCTCAATTGGCCATTTAAGTTTAATAGTAAAGGACTGTTAATGATAACAGTGCATCGGAAAACCTTCGGAAGGAAAGGAATGTTACGTGGACCATTTGTTTCTTTTTTGTGTGGCAGTTTTAAGTTATTAGTTTTTAAAATCAGTACTTTTTAAATGGAAACAACTCGACCAAAAATTTGTCACAGAATCTTAAGACTCATTAAAACAAAGTTCAGTGAGAAGAGTAAAAATAAAAAACAGACCCCACTGCTCCTCAGAGTGGGGTCTCGGACTGGCACCCCTGGTCCATCCAGCTACCTAGCCTGAGATCGGATGAGTTGGCCCCAGATGGTAAAGCAGCTTCCCCCAAGCCTGCAGTGTTTGGTCCAGCTGACATTGTGTCCATAGCAGGACTGACTCAGTGATGGAAGCAGGGCGTTGACCATGTTATTCTTTATCTCAGCACCAGCCGTACAAACAGTTGGCCACATGGATGCATCTCCGTTTATAAGCTGAGGTTTCAGATGCTTAGGAAACTTGGACAAAGTCAACTGACAAAGGAAATGAACGAAAAGAATTCCAAGCAGGCAGTCTACCTCCAGAGCCCAGCTCACAGTTTAACCACCTCTTAATATATTCACAGTATTGTTGATGGTTAATCACTGGTTTACCCAGTGGGGACTTAAACCCAAATGAACACATACAGTATCCACAATGGTCGGTTCCAGGTCTCATGACTCTCCTCTGCCATCGAGTTGGTTCCGACCCATAGCGACTCTATATATGGTTTCCAAGGAGCGGCTGGTGAGCTTGAACTGCCGACCTTGCATTTCAAACTGACCTTGCAGTCCAGTGCATTAACCCACAGTGCCACACCAGGATTCCATGGTTATTTTAGATTACACCCTTATATAAAATGGTGTAAAACCAGCACACATCGTCCTGTATACTTCAAATCAGCTCTTGTTGTTGTTGTTAAGTACTGTTGAGTTGGTTCAGACTCCTAGCGACCCTGTATAGGGTTTCTGAGGAGCGACTGGTGAGCTTGAACCACCGACTTTGTAGTTGGACAGTGCATCCACCACGGCACCACACCAGGAGTCCAAATCTGTACTAGATTGCTTATAATACCTAATACAGTATAATGCTACGTAAACAGCACTGGTGCATAACCCCCTCGTAGCATTTGAGGAATTGCCTTGACCACTTAATTGCTTCCCCTTCCCCATTACTTTCATTTGTGGGTGGTTGAATGCTGCATGCAGAACCGTGGATACAGAGGGCCAACTGTGCTTTCTAAGGAAAAAATTCCAAATAAAGATGATGCCTGGGGCTGACAATTTAGATTCAAAACAGCTGCATGTATTTTACTTTTCCTAGCTGCAGGGAATTAAGATCTCTCCTTTACTGCTAATCACCACTGGGCTAATGAAGAAAGCCCTGTGTGTACCTCAGAGGCTTGGTCAAGGCTTGCGGAAATTAAGCCAAATCCAGAGCTCTTGTCAGTATTCCCTTGTAGCTTGAAACCCTAAGAACCTACAGAAATGGATGTCCCCTTGAGGCTTCATTCTCTAAGTTCAAGTGCTGGAGGAGATAGTTGATTTCTTCTGATTCCAGTCCTACATTCTTGAAGAGACTTGGGTTGGGACTTGTCCTGACTCAACTCATGAGACATGAACAGGGCCTTTAGGCCACCCCAGTGAGGAAGGAAGCTGCACTCAGGCTGCATTGCCTTTGACAAGGAAGACCCCCAGCGAGGTGGACTGGCCAAGTAGCAGCGTCAATGGGCTCAAGCATGGCAACAACTGTGAGGTTGGCCCAGGACCGGGCAGTGTTTCATTCTGTTGTACATAGGGTCGCTGTGAATCGGTACCAACTTGATGGCACCTAACAACAACAACAATGTAAATATCTCAAGTGATGCCTCTCCAAAGATGTTCTGATCCTAGGTAAATGTGGTCCAGGTAGACAAGCCCGCAAGAAGAGCTACTTCACTTATGACCCACAGACTTGCTTCTAGCATCTCCTCTCTAACCTTCAACAACAGCCTCCTTGTTCATTGGTTTGTTGTAAACAGGATTTCAAACCAGTTGGTTCTGGGTCAACATCCTGCTGAGGATTTGCATTTCCACCCTGAAGCAGAATCTGCATTTGATTCTTGCCCATCTTGTTCACCAGTAGATTCTGATTCAGTTTGTCTTCAGGTAGAAATGTAAACTTTCAGCAGGAAATCAAACAGAACAAACCCATTTGAAGCCCTGGTTACAACCCACCAAGAAAAAAGGCAGGCACCATTGCAGGTTGTGGCTTGGGTTGTGTTTATTGGTGTCCAGTCAGCTCTGACTGTGATGCCGCCGATTCTGCAATGATAGTCCATGTGTTTGAGACCATTGTGTAATGTGTCTCGTTGAGGGCTTTCCTCGCACTTGCTGGCCCCCTCTCTAGTTTACCAAACATGGTGCCCTTCTCAGTGACTGATTCCCCACTAAAGATGTGTTGTTGTTATGTGCCGTGGAGTCGGTTCTGACTCATAGAGACCCTGCATAGGGTTTCCGAAGCTATAACTCTCTACGGGAGCAGAAAGCCTCACCTTTCTCCTACGGAACAACTGGTAGTTTCGAACTGCTAACCTTACAGCCCGCAGCCCGATTCGTAACCACTACGCTACCAGAGCTCCTTTGGAGGTCAGCAAGTTGGAGTGTCAGACAATGCTCTGTAACCCACTGGGTTTTTAGTCACTGAGTCTTGGAAGGTCTTTCTTCCTCCTCTGTCTTAGTGTGGAAGTTCTAGTGAAACCCGCCCATCGTGAGTGACCCTGCTTGAATGTGACATGCCAGGGGCATAGCTCCCAGCATTCTAACAACTTGCGAGTAACAGACGGGTGGTAGGGCTGTCACTTAAAAGCCACTTTATAATTTTGCAAACCTGAGCTATTGCAACATTCTTTTAAGGAATTACCTCACATTCAGAAAACCACTGCCTGCAAAAACAACAAACTGATGATTCTCCTGAATGTGTGTCCTTAGCAGAGCCTCACCAGACACCTGTCACTTCACCCACTGAGGAAGCACAGCATCGTGTTCACTCCATGGGTCTGAAGGCCCAGATCTAGTCTAGACTTGGGGGTGTTGCTCACGGATCTCAGCTTCTTCACAGCTTAACTGCTCTGGAAACTCTTTAGGGGCTGTGGGGTTAAGAGTTTGGCCTTTGTGAAGGAAGTCTCAGAGTCACTGGGCTACATGGTCCTGAGGACTTGTGTTAAGTAGGAGGTGGTCTGTGAGCCCATCTGGTAACCGATATGACTGCACACATGGGCTGATAATCCCGCATCTTGGACGCTCCAGAAAGCCTCCTGGGAGGGAAAATCCTGGAAGGAGAGAGAGCTGCCTGGGGACCTTTCCAAGCCTTGCCTCAGTACCTCCTCATGTGCCTCTGAGATACTTCTGAGTTGTTCCCTTACCCTAATAAACCCTACCTGTACGTGTCGTCAGAGAGCACTGTGTGATGTGGCCGGCAAGGGAGCGCCTGGCATCAGATAATGGAGAAATTGGACGTGCAGATATACCTGCCCCACATCCCCTAGGAGCTAGCTTTGTGCTGATTCTTACTCATGAAATTGTTCATTCGGGGCCTACCGTACAACATGACTGGAAGGAGAGATGGTACCTCACTTGCCAGAATGGGTTACAGACAGGGAAGTGGTGATGTCCCGATAGCTGTTTGTGGAATTGCCTCGCGTTCTGGACTGAGGCATGAGGGGAGCTTCGCAGTGGAGAAGATGTAAGGCCACTTGCCCAACGGTACTGAATCCCAGAACTCTGGGAAAAGAAGTAGGTCCCTTCATTTCAGAGACGGGGAGCGAGTGCTGGTACCCAGTGACAGTTAAGTTAGGGTCCATTTGTCATTTCTGAAAACCAGTGGGATCTGCATGATAAAATGTGGAAAGAATGATGTCTGTTGAAAAACTGATAGGAAAAACAAATAGCTCTTGCATTTGTAACTTGAAGCATATCTATAATTAATTCCCTAAGGCATTTAAAAAACCTTTCAACTTGATGTAGTCACTAGGGCCAGCCTTTATTACGTGAAAGTTTCAAATTACCCAAAGCCTAAAGGATAGCATATTCTGTTCAGTTTCCATCTTCTCGTTTTGCATGACTGAAGCCCACCCAGAGGCACCTTGAACCTCCAACTTTTCAGTTAACAGCCAAGCCAGATAACCAGCAGTGCCACTCAGGGACCCCAGAAAAGCCCACAGATCCATGATTAGTCTAAATATTCTATTTTCTTTTTTATTATGTGTGTTTATTCACAGTGGTAACACATACATCCAGATGTTTCTAGGTCACCTTTTCACACTATAGTAAAGCTGTAGGAATTGCGCTAACAAACACAGCCACTCAGAACTGACTGAGCCTTTCGAGCCCTGGTGAGCTTTTCCTCAAACCACCCTACACTGCCCAGAGCCAGCTTCCCATTCAGATACTCTCCTACCATTGGCTATGCCACATCTGTCCCATCCCAGGGTCTCTTCAGGGCACATGTGGCAAATGGACCTACAGCGGGGTCTTTGTGGGCAGGTAAGGCTGAACAAGCAAGAGGCACTCTGGGATATGTGGGCAGCCTCCGAGCTGAGCACCTTTTTTAAGAACACCTTGGGGTTCGTGTAACACGGGACCCCATCTTGTCTCTTTATGTTCTTGCTTTACAGCCTTCTTCAGTGTCTTTTTTCCTCCCTTCCCAGCTCTGTTTTGTGATGTTTTGGACCCCCAATGTTTCTGAGAAGATTTTGATCGACATCATAGGTGTGGACTTTGCCTTTGCAGAACTGTGCGTGGTTCCCTTGCGGATTTTCTCCTTCTTCCCAGTCCCAGGTAAAAAGAAGAAAGGCTGGAGGAGAAATCCTGATTTCCCCTCATCTTGGGCCAGATCTTCCTGCTTTGGAAGCATTTGCAATCGCATTACAAACCAAAACATAGCATTTCAGAGGACTAGAGAGATAAATGGCTGTGTGAGCCCCTTCTTGGACTTTCAACCTACTTTGCATCTTTCTCATCTTTTGTAAAATTTAGCATATCTGTTTGTGATGTGAAAGTAGGTTGAAAGTTTAAGGAAGGACTCAAACCATAAACTTCCTTTTTTTTTTTTTTTTAAAAAAAAGTACAGTGGTTGCAAACACAGTCAAAAGAAAAGGGATGCAAAGGAAGATACCCCAAGGGGTTTTCTGAGGTGTAGTTTGGGCACTAGAGCTTCAGTATCCTGATTATGGTTGTATTTACACAAACCTTTCATGCACTAAAATTCATCGATGTGCAGCCCATCCCTGGAGATGCACACAGAGAACTGCTGGGACAGGAGGAATGCAGGTGTTGAGCGGAGGCTGGATGGTGGACAGCCATACTCTTAGCCCGTTGGGAATTTCCTAACAGGATACAGAAGAAGGTCATTCTTTATTAGATGCAAAAGGCACCGTGCAGAATAAGTTTACTGTCATTTCTATGACAAATATAGAATTTGTGTGTGTGTGAGTCTAGTACGGATGCACTCAAATGCCTGCGTATCATAACCGCATTTCTAGAAGCGACTCATGACCCTCGGTACATGGGTTCCCTCTGTATACAGGATTTGAGAGGTGCGAAAAGGAATATAGGCAAAAGGTCTTCCGCCTGCTTTTGCTTCTTTTATAATCCTCTGCCAAGTGTGTGTCATCTATTCAGAAACTCATTGCCCAAAAGGTGCCCCCAAAATCATTAAGGAATCCTGGTGTGGCGCTGTAGGATTAACACTCAACTGCAAGGTTGGTGTGAACCACAAGGTTGGTGGTTCTAACTCGCCAGACACGCCTCAGAAACCTATACAGTGTTGCTATGAGTCAAAACCAACTTGAAGTGAAGGCTCAGAGTTTGAAGCTGGGACGGGGCAGGACCCAAACGGAAACAGCCCGGCAGGTGGGGACCTTTGGCCGATGACCTCCGCTCTCTCCACAGTCACCGTGAGAGCCCACCTGACCGGGTGGCTGATGACGCTGAAGAAGACCTTTGTCCTGGCCCCCAGCTCTGTGCTGCGTATCATCGTCCTCATCACCAGCCTCCTGGTCCTGCCCTACCTGGGGTATGTCGTCGGCCCTCGGTGTGAGCCCACCACACCTGCTCTGACTGTGAGCCAGGCTCTGGGCACACACTGGGGGCATACCCACCCTGGCCAGTAGCCTGTCTCACAAACAAGGGAATCCCTACCTGGTCCAGGGGCTGGGAGAGCCACAAGGAACAAAGCCAGTGAGATGTGTGCATATACCAAGTGAGACATGGTCATCCCAGTGACTACCAGGGGGCTTCAAGACATGGGGGGAAATGGAAGGAAGAGATAATGGCAGTTTTTCATGAAGTTTTTGAAGCCGTGGTGCTATAAATATGGAATCCTGGTATAGTGCTGTCAAATAAACCCTGGACCACACAGTCGGTTTGAACCACAAGGTCAGTGGTTCAAACTCATCAACTGCTCCTCAGAAACCCTATACAGGGTCGATAAGATTGGGAACCAACTTCACTGTACTTTGGTTAGTTGGTTGGTAAGTGCCATCGAATCGATTCCGACCCATAGCGATCCTATTTAGGGTTTCCAAGGAGCAGCTGGTGAGCTTGAACTGCCATCCTTGCAGTTAAAACGGCTTTGCAGTCTGGCGCATTAACCAGCGCCACACCAGGACTCACTGAATTTAGCAACGTATAAATAAAGATTTGCTTAAGGAAATGGCTCAGACAGTTGTAGGGACTGGCATGTCCCAAATCCACGGGTCAGACAAGAGTCTGGAGATGTCTATTGCTCACAGGGTTGGGGGTGGGGGCTGGGGAACCCAACTCCAGGTTAGGCAGCAGACTTATGCCCCAGGATCTGGAAGTCAGGTGATGAGGAAAATGCAGGATGGAGCTGTGCTCTGCAGGGCGTGGGAGTCCAACCAGTGAGGAAGGGGAGCAGGGGGCGGCGGGGGCTGCAATGCACACACACACACACCCTCCCCACCCGGAATCAGAGGAGGGAAACTTCTGTGCCGTCCAGGAGAGAGGGCAGTTTGCTGGGTTTGGGACTGACTCTAACTGACCACCTCCCCACTTCTCTTCTCCAGGGTCCATGGGGCCACTCTGGGCGTGGGCTCCCTCCTGGCAGGCTTCGTGGGCGAGTCCACCATGGTGGCCTTAGCAGCCTGCTATGTGTATCGGAAACAGGTGAGTCAGGGCCTGGCAGGGAGCTCTCTGGAGAGGGGGGATCGGACATGCTGGTGTACTAAAGCCCTGCGTGGGAGGAGCCAACATGGCAGAGTCCAGGTGGGTTCCCAGGACACAGCAAAGGATGGCACTCAGCACCCATCCCAAGTCTGCTGAGTGGACCCTCTGCCCTTGCCCTGTCCACAGCCCCCCAGTCACCGGCTGTCTTTGTTCTAGAAAAAGAAGCTGGAGAACGAGTCGGCCACCGAGGGGGAAGACTCGGCCATGACAGACATGCCGCCTGCGGAGGAGGTGACGGACATTGTAGAAATCCGCGAGGAGACCGAGTGATGGGGGCCCACCGTGCACTGCTGAGTCTTCTCCCGTCCTGTGTCCTCTCCTTTTTCCTCCTGGAACCGAAGGAGGCCTGCATTGAAGGCCTCATGTGAAGTCTCTGGCATACTGGGCATGCTCACACGGCTGTGGCCCCTAGAGGAAGGCTTGGCTATCGCTTTGTGAAAACCAACAAGAACAATTGAATTCCTTCCCCTGCTTCCTGAAAACCCAAAAGACAGCTGCCTGGTGGAAGAAACCGCCCCTTGCCCCTTCCATCGGACGATCTCCACATGGAACCAAAGGACTTCCGCCGCCACCCCACGGCCCCCCAACTCTGCTCCCACTCATTCTCTTAAAGAATCAACAGATTGAAGCTCACCTGTCTTCCACTTGCTTGGCTGTCACATGGCTGTCCTTGGGTGTGGTGCCGATGGTTAATAAGCGCTGCACTACTAGCTGAAAGGTTGGTGGTTCGAGCCCACCCAGACTTGCCTCAGAAGGCCTGAATGCCTGCTCCCAAACGTCCCTGTGGAGCAGTTCTACTCCGCACACATCAGGTCACCATGATTCAGAATCGACTCCACAGTGTGTCGGCACGTCCGGTGGGCTGCCCTTCTCCCGCTCAGCCGCAGCTGTGGGCCCTCTGCACCGCACAAATGTCGGGCTGCAGCCGGGAGCCTGCCCACTGAGAAAACCCGGGGACACCCACCCGTAGGAAGGTCTGCGGTGCTTAAGCGAACCCACAACAGCCTCGTGTACTGTGTTTTCTTAGATTCGAGGTGAGCGCTCAGATCCGGCAGCCCACCTGCCCGTTTACGTAAATTAACCTTCTCCCGGGAGGCTGGCTCATCTGGCCTGAAGCTCGAGTGAAACGGCGCGTTCTAACTTGACGTTTTACTGTGGAGTCGGTAGCCGAAGCTTTGAGTCATAATCTAGCGTTCTAAAGCCAGGCCGTCTCGTCGTAACTATCCCAAGCCGCTTTATCACCTGGCCCGCCACTGTCAGTCCTAACTTGGGGGACAGGTCATCGGCCTCGGCCATGTTGCCTCCCTCTCATGTCCCATTCAATAAAGCAAGACATTTTATAAGCTGTATCAAAGTCACTATGTGATAGTCCCTGAAAATGAAGCATTTGAAATCTAACTTAGTGCGGTCTATTTTTCTAAGTTTGGGAAGCAGATTTGTGTGTGTGTGTGTGTATTTTGGGTCCCCCCACCCCTTTAAAAATTACGGACACAGTTCATGAAATTCTTGATGTTAGTCAAAATTCCTAGACGGGAAGAAACTAAGCAAGCAAGCAAACAAAAAATATTCTGAAGATATAAATAAATACTGTGTATGTTATGTAATTTATTTTAGGCGATAATACGTTTCCTATTTTCACATTTTCAATAAAATGTCTCTAATACAATACGGGTGGTAAACTATGTGCTCAGCCTACCTGCAGTTGAACCGTATCCATGAACATTGTACCTGATTTGCTGCGGTTTCACAAAGCCTGGCCTATGTATAGAAATGTAAGAGGAAATTAACTATTTTTTCATTATGGGTAACTGGGTTAGTACCATGAGTTGGAAGCGACTCGATTGTAACTGGTTTGACTTGGGTTATGGGAAATAAGTCAGTTGGCTAGTGTAGACGCTGCTGCTGCTATAGAACTGGTTCTGGCTCACAGTGACCCTGCACAGGGTTTCTGAGGCTGTAAATCTTTACAGGAGCAGAAAGCCTCATCTTTTTCCTGAAGAGCAGCTGGTGGAACCAAACTGCTGACCTTGTGGTTAGTGTAACCCACTAGTATGCTAGCAGAGCTCCTTGGTGTAGAAGCTAGTGGAATAGAGTATGAACTGGAAGACCAAAAAAGAAAAAAGCCAAGTCTCTGGGCTCCTTGTTTTCAGTGCTGTGTAGTCATATTATTACATATAGAAAAAAAGAATGTAAGGCCATACGATTGAGTGGACACACAGGGTTGCATCTTGACCTGGGGGTGGCCCTACCCTGGGTCCACATCCTTATGAGCTGCTTCTAGCAGCTTTTCCTCAGTGTATCAGAGTGCTGGAAATTAAGGCACATAGATTGGGGTGGGATGAGTTGGGGGTTGGGGGGAAAACATCAAATTGTATTGGCTTTTTAAAAATTCATAAGTAGAAAAATTAAAACAGCAGTATTTTCTAACATGTGTGACTATTTTGTGCTTGTGGGGTGGGCGCTTAAAGGGCCGATTGAAAACCGAGTTCTGTCCCGGCCATCCAAGAAGGATGTACTGGAGACTCTTTGTTCTGCGAGTTGCGGTGACTCCGGAGATAGCTGCGGTGATACAGATGGGTGGGCCATGTGTGGTGTTGGGGTTCCGGATAGCATGGGAAGCACAGCAGGCGGCCGTGCTGTGGGCTTGAAGAACTTGCTCCTAACGCCCCCCTGGAAGCCCACAGTCCTGCCTTTCCTGCACTGGGCCAGCTAACCAGCACCCCAGAGTCTAAAGCTGGCGTCCCCTCCTGCCAGCCAGAATTTCACCATACGGGAAGATGGGTCTCACAAGCACACATCCCCTCCCCTGTTAATTAGAGCCAAGCCTTGACTTACCAAAGAAACATCCCGGCACAAGTTTGCTTCCCCTTCATGCCATTCAGCTCGCTCCGGACCCTGGAAGGTCAAGGGTGACATCTTACCTTTTGGGTGAGAGTCCGAATGTAATCTCCCTGGACGTAAAGCCCAGGGCATCTCTCCTCCGTGCTTCAGAGGGGCACATGGAACGGCACTGGAAATGAAAGTGGCCTTGGTGCCAATGGGCCAAATCCGTGAGACCCCCCAAACACTAATGTATAAATAGGATGAAACAAGGCGGCCCCCGGCAGTTTAGGATGAGGTTGGACCAGCCAGCCGCGTGTCTGGGGAGTGGGCTGCAATTTGCACGTGGCCTGCAGAGCCACTTAGCTGCCTGTTGGCTGAATGCTGTATACATCTGGTGCCCAGTTTCTCTCCAGCTCCCATGTTTAGTGTCAGCCAGTCCCCTCACACCCTCTTAGTGTGGGTGGTCTAGGATGTGTCAGCAAGGGGCCGAGGGGAACTTCATGACCACAGTGAGAGCACGAGATACCTGACCTCCCAGCCCCCAGATCCCCAAGTCCTCACAAGGAAGCAGGCATGGGTGAGGACACAGGGAGAGAAGCTCTGGAACCAGGCTCCCTCTTCCTGCCAGGCATGCTCAGTGGTCTCCCGAATCTCTCTGAGAAGCATCATTAACCAATGAACAAGTTGCCGTGGAGTCTGCAGGCTCACGCCACCCTGTCTGTGCATTGTAGAACTCCAGAGGCTTTCCAAGGCTGTGACCTCTCAGAGGCAGATCCCCAAAGTCTGTCTTCTAAAGCTCCTCTGGGTGTGGCCGACCCCCCCCCCCCACCTCAATCTTTCAGTTCATATTCTAGCACTTAAGCCATTGTAGCACCCACAGGTTCCTAGGATACTCATTAAGTGCCATCGAATCAGTTTTGACTCATAGTGACCCTGTACGGGATTTCCAAAGCTGTAAGTCTGTGGGAACAGAAAGCCTCGTCTTTCTCCTGTGGGCTTGAACTCTTAATCTTGTGGCTACCAGTCCAGTGTTTATCCTAGAGAGTTATGTTCCCCAAATCTCAGAATACTTAATAGCTTTCTGGAATATGGAGAGACAATAGAACATAGCCCTCCACCCTCAACGTCGTCTCTCATTTGGTGGGCTTTCTTTCTGCAAGGATGGGAAGAATTGCATTTTTGCGTACCCTTGGTTTTCAGAAACATGTTGATTTAAAGACCCAGTAGTTTTCTGGCTGACCGATTGACCCTCTTACTTCACACTGAAGTGGGAGGACGACTGTGTGTTGCAAAACAGGAAGTATTTCTACGTTGCCATTAATATTACCTTGAGAAATCCCTGGTCTTTTAAAAAGTCCATCGCTTTCAGTAAGTGCTACTAGAGGCCAGCACCCAGGACAGCATGTGCTGGTTTGTACCAGTTAGCTGTGGTTTCTGGCCTGTTCCTTTGCCAGCCAGCAGATCTCTAAACATCATCCATCAAACCAGGACACAGGGCAAGGAAGGGTCTTAAATGTTGATCATTTTGAAAACTATGATTTATTTGACCAATGTTGCGGTGCGACACATGACCAGAGCTCTGCGGGACGTGTCCGGAGCCCTGTGCCTCTCACTCGGCTGCCTCCCGCTCCTGCTGAGATCTGTACTTGTCCTTCCCATGTTGCTTGTGCAAAGGGCATCAGAGCCAGGCAGAGGCCTGTGATGGAGAGGTGTGTTTGGTAAACATTCACGTGCCTCTTCTGGCGGGGGGAGGGTGGGGGTATTTTGAATCTCTATTTCTGTCCTTGGAAGCAGCAAACATCATGTGACCCATCAACAGATCTGACCACGCTAAAACAGGATGTCAAGAGAACTTTAAGAGCGGACCCAAATGCCTGTCTTTTAAAAAGTTGAATGCCCAAAAATGACTATGCAGATGGTCCACGTGAAGAGAATTGTATTAGGCAATCATACCAGTCAGAATGCCACGCTCAAGGGGAGATGCTGGGATCTTGTTTTAGGTTAGACCTTATTTTCTTCTTGAAGAGATGAGATTAGAACTGTTAGCTTTTATACCTCCTGGAGCCCTGGAGGAGCTGTAGCATCAACACTGGACTGCTAACCACAAGTCAGCAGTTCAAACCCATCAGCTGCTCATCAGGAGAAAGATGAGAATTTCTTCTCCTGTGAAGGTTTACAGTCACTATGAATTGGAATTGTTGTTAGGTGCCATCGAATCAGCACTGACTCATAGTGACCCTATGTATAGCAGAACGAAACACTGCCCGGTCCTGGGCCAACCTCACTATTGTTGCCACACTTGAGCCCACTGATGCTGCCACTTGGCCAATCCATCTCATTGGGGCTCTTCCTCTTTTTCTCTGACCCTCCACCCTACTAAACACGCTGTCCTTCTCCAGCGACTGGTCCCTCCTGACAATATGTCCAAAGTATGAGAGATGAAGTTT